GTGAGTGTGTGTGTGAATGGGTGAATGAGACACAGTGTAAAGCGCTTTGGATAAAAGCGCTATATAAGTGCACCATTTATTTACCATTAACGATATTGGTACTTATAACCCGTTAAAGGGAATCAAGGTTGATCTATAAAGCAAAAATCAAATTCTTTATATTCATTATCAAATTCTGAGAATTCCAAGCATATTTATAGCAGTGTATGCACTGAAAGACTCCCTCATTCGTCAGTATGTAATCTCATCTGTATACTGTAGATTGTTACATGAGAACTGCTACTGCAATCATAAACACTGTCCTTTGCTCATCTCAAGACTCTTATTCACAATCGCAATACAAATAAAATTTACTTGATTTATTGAATATTACTGATAAATAATGCAAAAGCCCCTCTGTACTATAATCCGAAAGCAGTTTAACTTCTCCTCTTTCCTATATTTTCAATTCAGTTGTGGCCGTGAGAATGCAATGCAATTCCCACAATGTATGCATAGTTTAATCAAAGCTTTAATCCATTGCATGGTCATTTTAACCCACCATAATTACACATTACCCCCTTATACTGTCTCCAGTCTCAGTTTGAAACACAAATGGCCTGACAGGCAAATACACCACTAATAGTCATGTTAGTCATATTCTGATTGAGGCGTCAGTGGCTACTTAATTCCAGGCCACGTCTCAGAGCTGTGCCAATGTTACCCAGGCCTGTCATGTGCAGTGGAGCTTAATAAGTGAGACACAACAAACAAACATTAATGGTTCTTTCGGCAAACATTTGGGCAAGTCACTGAAAGCTTTCTGGCAAACATCTATACCCAGAGTGCCTTGCTTCTATAGACGCTCCACCATTCTTATGTTCTCAAAAATGTTATGCTTCTACTGTACCTTCAGGAAGAGTGGCTGGTGATGATCCAGAGTTTGGTCATTTCCCTACTCAAAGACACCTCGTAATTCTGGTGGCGAACTGCTAGTTAACTGTACGTTTAATTAGATGTCTATACAAAAACATTTCCTGGACTCTGTCACTCCGCGATTGGAGCTGATGCATGCATGATACTTAATACCAATCTGTTCTACCTGATTGTGTTATATTTTGTCAGATGTTCGAGGTAGATCTGCATGCTTTGCGCTCCAGAGTCCACGGGCCACCAAACATTGCCTTCCTGCAATTGCCTTTTTTTGGGAGACAATATCATGCTCAAAAATGGCCGCTGCAAATCGTCCGAAGTTGAAAGGAATATGTAATCAGTCACACTTTTCAATAATCAGTTTCTTCATTTTTTCAGCCATCCTTTTTAATTTACACATGCATGAGAGAGAGAAGCACACACTGAATGTTTCCATGTGCATGGGGCATACACTGTATGTTTAGATTCGTATACCAGTTTACAACCCCAAATCCAAAAAAAGTTGGAACGCTGTGTAAAATGTAAATAAAAACAGAATGCAATGATTTGTGAATTTCACAAAAGGCTGGAAAAGTAAGTGTTACTAAAAAGAAACAGCTGGAGGTTAATTGGCAACAGGTCAGTAACATGATTGTATATAAAGAGAGTATCGTATAGAGGCAGAGTCTCTCAGAAGGAAAGATGGGATGGAATCTGCATGGAAGCATTTGTTGCACTAAAACCTGTATATACCTTTCAGCAGTGATGCCTTTCCAGCTGTGCAAGCTGCCCATTCCATAGACACTAATACACCCCATACTAATACACCCCATATTTATTTTATTAATAAACAAAAAACAAAGTGAACAAGTAGGCTTATAAATTTTTTTTTATTTGTTCCATCTCATCAGCATGATAAAAAAAAAAAACTGCATATAAATGGCTCAAACCTCCGTTACTAGCTGTAAAAATGACAATTTTGAATTAGAAAAGGAGGCTTGAGATGGGCCACGTAATAATTTAGTTCCACACACACACACACACACACACAGAGGAGCATTTTAAGGACAAAAACATGCACTGCAACCTTGGGGCATGCAATATTTTCTAATAATTCAACTGCGTGTCGTGAATTTTTCCTTACATACACAATGTACTGGGAGCAGGGTAATCAGTTCTCTAATGCCAGCCAAGTTAAGATGCAGGCTTTTGAACTGAGTGCAGATAAAAACCAAGAAGGTCCCTCTCTTTAGTCTGCAGTTTCCAAAAAGTATAAAAAATTTCGATTGCTCTGACCACAGAACAGTTTTCCACTTTGCCTCAGTCCATTTTAAATGAGCTTTGGCCCACAGAAGATGGCGGAGTTTCTAGATCATGGTCACATATGGCTTCTTCTCTGCATGATAGAGCTTTAACCAGTGTTTGTGCATGGCACGGTGAAATGTGTTCACAGACAGTAAGTTCTGGAGGTGTTTCTGAGCCCATGCAGTGATTTCCTTTACAGAATCAGGCCTGTTTTTATTGCAGTGCCACCTGAGGGCCCGAAGATCACGGGTATGCAGTACTGATTTTCACCCTCATCCCTTCAGCACAGAGATTTCTCCAGATTCTCTGAATCCTTTCATGATATTATGTACAATAGATGATGATAATATTCATAGTCTTCACAATTTTACGTTGAGGAACATTATTCTGAAATTGTTCAACAAATTGTAGGCGCAGTTTTCCTCAAACTGCCATCTTTATTTCTGAAAGACTCCGCCTCTCTAAGATACACTTTTTATACCCAATCATGTTACTGACCTGTTCCCAATTAACCTCCAGCTGTTACGTTTTACTAACACTTTTACTGTTTTTCTTTTTTTTTACATGCTGCAAATTCAAAATGACCTTGTTTTTTTCTTAAAATGGTACATTTACTCAGTTTAAATATTTGATATGTTTTCTATGTTCTATTGTGAATATCACATGGGTTTATGAGATTCGCAAATCTTTGCATTCTGTTTTTATTTACGTTTAACCCAGCGTAATAACCTTTCTGGAATTGGGGTTGTAAATAACCCTCTGGGTTGTTTGGGCAAAATGCAGATAAATTACACTACATTTATGTTGCAATTTGTATCATTATATTAATACATTTTAATTACAGGTTCCTCCCATCATTTATTTTCCAACAGCGTCTCAATTGCAACTGAGTAAGTGTGTGCTCTTCTTTGTTATATAAGAAGCACTTGCCTCAAACTCATAGCAGTATAGCAACAATGCCTAATGTTGCCAGTAATGCAAAATCATTTCCATGAGGCTGAGGAACTTGAGATGAAATGATTTATCTCAAGAGCCAAAACCTTGTACTTTGTCACTCAACCAGATCAGTAACACAAAAATGATTTCCGTATGTCTGAAACCCGCCAGAGTTTGGCCTTGTCTAGGTGATTTTCTAGCTAATGCCTTTGTCACTGAGTCAACACAAACTATATACTACAGTTTTGTAGGACTTGCAAGACGGTGAGTCACCGGTAAAAAAGCTTGGCAAAGACAAACTGAGGTATGAGACAATGACGCAAAAAAGTAATAGAAATAACATAAGCTATGCCAGCATAGGTGGGAGCAGGAGACAGAGAGGTAAGTGATAAACAGAAGCACTGGCAGATGGTGGAAGCAAAAAGAAACCAAACTTTTCAGCAGGTGTAGGACGACCAGTGGGAGGAGGTGCGAATTAAAGAAGTAGAATCTGAGAGCAAGTCAAAGGCAGAAATAGAAATAATGACAGCAGCAGGAATGAAGGAAATAAGACCGTGGCTGATATAAAGGTAGAAATTGCAGTAGCTATGGCAAAAAGCATTAAAAACCTATATAGCGGCCATTATAGCTCCACCACCTGCTTTGTAACGCACCCACCATGATCCTTAAAGGAGCCAGATTGTCAAAACAGATTGCACATCAACTCAGCGTGATTTAGAAAGCTGTTTAATGCCCCTCCTGGTGCTCATGAGGCTTTGTCTCAAACTTTTAAAGGGCTGAAGGAGCGAAAAAAATCTCAAATGGCCTCAACTTTTGACTCTTGTACACTATGTCCTGACATAGGTGGAGGAACGTTCATAGAGCTTGTCTGTTAATTGGGAATAACTTCCCTAAAGAGACCCTAGAGACTCACTCTTTTTCTCCAGACCTGTCAGCACTCCTTTCAAATGGGGATTTGTCTTATTTTGGAGACCTCTTTTTGCCATTTAATATGAATCCCAGGCTACAGCTGCTGGAGTGATCAAGAGAAGGAGAGCTTGTAATGCGTTCTGGACTCCAACGTCCTCCTGCACTCATCTTCATTACCATGAAATGCACAGGATATTGACCACATTTTTTTTTTTAAATGTCTTGTATGAAAAAGACTCAAATGGTTAAGTCAGGATGGGGCTGGAGTTAAAGTTGAATTTTCTTATGGCTTCTCCCACCCACACTTTTTTTTAGAAATCCTCCAAATTTTGTTTGTAATCAGGCCTAAGGATAAAAAAAAAAAAAAATCACAGTACAAAAGTCCACAGGAAATTAAGTTTCTTTACCAGGCAACATGATATTACCTTTACAGTTCTTTTTCAGGAACTAGGTCCACAGATTTTGAAGAATCATTTCTAGAAACTACAGTTATTAGCTTCTACCACTGACCAGTACATGCTGATAAACAACACAAGAATGTTATTAAAAGATATGTTATTCTCCTTCTCTTGATTCATTGCAAATTTCAATATTTTTCATTTGGGTTGTTGGACTTTTATGATCATATGATTAAAGGTCATCAGTAAGCATATATCTGATCATACAATGGTATTTGGTTCATATCTACTTGCATGTGTTTCACTGATATATACTGTAATCATAGAAAACAATAATCCATCCATCCATTTTCTGTTCCACTTATCCTTACTAGGTCACAGGGAACTTGGAGGCTATCCTAGTGGGGCACAAGGCAGGGGACACCCTGGATGGGGCATATTTACACACTACAGACACTTTTGGGGACATGTAAATCAGCCTGCAGGTCTTTGGAGAGGGAACCAGATTAGCCAGAAGAAGCCCCTGCAACACATGGAGAACACGCAAACTCTGCACACACAGGGCAAAGGTGGGAACCGAACCCTCAACCCTGGAGATGTGAGGCAAACGCGCTAACCACTAAGCTACCATGCCCCAGTAGAAAATAATAATGTTTTTGGAATTCTGTAAAATCGTTCACTGAACTCCAGAGCTATGAGTTAATATTTGCAAGGCGCGGAGTCCTTAAGTGTTTCAGTTGGAGCGGAGGAATTTCCAGGCATCATGAAGAAAAATATTTAGATTTTTCTAATAAAATAGATACATTGAGAAGCGGTGTCATGGACCACTGAGAAGTGGAGAGTCAACTTCCTGTCCTCTTTGTGGCTTGGCTGAGTTCTCTGAAAATGGCCTTACCTGCATTCAGGCTCAATTTATTTTTTTGGAGGAGATACAGTTCAGAAACCGAGTCTTCTTAGGAGAAGAAAAGTTGGGTTTCAAATCAAACAGTCCTCTCACTCAGTGTACTCCTCCATCTTATTTACAAGTGTATCCATAAAAATAGCTTTCAGTGACAGTGGTAAAAATGTCCTCCTTCATGTTTGAGATAATCATGATATTTATTCTCATTTGGAAAAGTAAGTGTTACTAAAATAAAACAGCCGGAGGAACATTTTGTAACTAATTAGGTTATTTGGCAACAGGTCAGTAAGAGTATCGTATAGAGGCAGAGTCTCTCAGAAGGAAAGATGGGATGGAATCTGGATGGAATCATATGTTGCTCTAAAACCTGTATATACCTTTCAGCAGTGATGCCTTTCCAGATGTGCAAGCTGCCCATTACATAGACACTAATGCACCCCCACACTATCAGAGATGCAGGCTTTTGAACTGAGCGCTGTTAAAAACATGGTTGGTCTTTCTCCTCTTTAGTTTAGAGGATGCGGCGTCCATGGTTTCCAACAATAATTGAATTTTGTATTAGTATTTAAATTTTTATGACCAAAGAACAGTTTTCCACTTTGCCTCAGTCCATTTTAAATGAGCTTTGGCCCACAGAAGATGGCGGAGTTTCTGGATCATGGTCACATATTGGATCTTCTCTGCATGATAGAGCTTTAACCAGCATTAGTGGATGGTACGGTGAAATGTGTTCACAGACAGTGAGTTCTGGAGGTGTTTGAGTCCATGCAGTGATTTCCTTTACAGAATCAGGCCTGTTTTTAATGCAGTGCCGCCTGAGGGCCCGAAGATCACGGGTATGCAGTACTGATTTTCACCCTCATCCCTTCAGCACAGAGATTTCTCCAGATTCTCTGAATCCTTTGATGATATTATGTACTGTAGATGATGAAAGACTCATAGTCTTCACAATTTTACATTGAGGAACATTATTCTGAAATTGTTCAACAAACAAATTGGTGAACCTCTGCCCATCTTTACTTCTGAAAGACTCCACATCTCTCAGATACTCTTTTTTATACCCAATCATCTTACTGACCTGTTCCCAATTACGCTCCAGCTGTTTCTTTTCAGTAACGCTTACTTTTCCACCCTTTTGGTGTCCCTCATTTTTTGAGATGTGTTGCGACCATCGAATTCAAAATTACCTTTTTTTTTTCTCTTAAAATTGAAAACATTTACTCAGTTTAAACATTTTATATGTTTTCTATGTTCTACTGTGAATAATGAGATTTTTATTTACATTTTACACGGTGTTCCAACTATTTTTGGAATTGGCTTTGTACTTCTGATGTTAGTGGCCATTAAGTTACGATGATGATAAATGTTTTGCAAAATCAGATGCTTTCGAACGGGAGCAAGAAATAATATTTAAATGATGTGTACTTTTTACAGTCTTGAAATTTTTTCTAATGAAAAAGAAAACTGCTAGTTGAATTTTCTTACATTTTCTTGTAAGAATAATCCTTGGTGCCTTGTAAACTTTATGTAAAAATTTGCTTTAAAAAATAAATAAATAAATAGTGTATGTCTGGAAATTGTCACAACACTTATCTTAAGTAAATCTTACTCTCACTATGTTTTTTTTTCATTGTATGGTTGTCCAGTGAACAACTTCTCCTACCTGACCTGTGGGTCTGTCCAGCTCTTTCAGTACCATTGGCCTGTTGGTTACTTCCCTTTACCCCTTTGAAAGCTGGCCTAAATGTAAGTTTTGTTGGCATTTGTGCTTGTGAAATATTCTTTTCCAGAACTTCCTTTCGATTGCTCTTTGTTGTGCTGTTTCTGTAGGTATGTGCTCTAACAATCTCTGGGCATTTATACTGAGATCACATGACTCTTACATTACACATAAGTCAACTTAATTCACCTAATTATGTGATTACATAACATAAATAAGGGCTTGTTATATAGTTGTGGACAAGTATGCAAGAATGAACATGTATGCAATACCTGACCTGCATTACCTCTAGCTCATTTAACACTGCTAATTCAGTCTTGCAGTCTCTGACATGATGTACTTTTCAGTGACAACTTGCAGACCCCTAAATCACACTTGTTCCCATGAGCCTTCTTATATTTATAATGTAATCACTTTAGCAGTCAGGTAAATCCTCTGCCTTGTCAAACATCACATTGGGGGTTATACAACAACCAGCTGTTTTAGCATTAAATGGCCATGTCTGTTGATGCCAGATCACTTATGTGATCTCAGTGACATCATTATAGTATAAGGGACAGATGATAAGGGTTTGTCTGAGATCAGAATCGAATAGAGCGACTGACTTGTGGATATGGGCTACTTCAAAAGACAAAATAAATGCTGCGTGTGTTTTGCAAAGATCCACAAATGAACTGTATCAGGAGTGTCATAAAACCATTTTGACTGAACAGAGATGGATGGTTGTAGCTGGTACCGAGCTGGGATCACACACACTCGGACCCTGAAAAAAAAAAGAGTTATGTGTGTTCACCTAAACCATAACCGATTCTACTCCTGGCTTCATTCTGGTCTTTTCGGCAGATCTGCACCTAACAAATTGTGTCTATTCGCTTAACAATGAAAAAAGATTTCTACTTATGCATATAACATGACTATGAATGCATTCTTTGCATGCAAACTGATCTGCACTGATTAAAATGCCATACACATTGTCCATGCAGAACTCATTTTAATAAACTCCTTTATAAAATAAACTCTTAGCTTTGTTGAATTCTTGCGCAGAATAATATTCATTTGAATATGCCACACCCACTCGAAAGCTGAACCGTATTGAAGCTGACTATGTTCCTATCCCGTTGTGCACAGAGGCTGACGGATAGAAAATACTGTACACATGATATACTCTTTAAACTCTAGATAAGCATCAGAATGAAATGTGATGTTTTGAGTCACGACAGTATTGAAGTTACAGTCAAAAGTTTCCTTTATGCGGGTGAGGGAACATCCGTCTGAAAATAATTAAGATTATTTTGAGATAAAATATTGCATAACGTGGATAACAATTTAAAGTTGTAATCCAAGGAGCTCTGCTACACTTTCTTTATACAAACAGCACATTCCTCATAGATGCTCTGCCATGCTCTTGTAAGACTTCCCAGAGGTTTGTAAGGATGGTTTTGATCCCTGGGCAAATCCCTTTGTTATAAATGTCACTGCTTTTTTTTTTATTTTTATTTTTTTTTACACAGCTTTGTGGTAACTGAGAATCGGTTATTGACATTAATGATTGATCAACAGTGAGAATGGTACCACTTAAAAACCATGGCAAAGATGGCTTTGGACCATTCATTTGAGCAGTTATGCTATGATAGCTTTAGGACTGCAATTACCACAAAAAGTCAAGCAAGTCTCCATCAGTTAACAGCAGATAAGTTCAACAAAACAGACTTTGTGTATTGAATTTTCCTTTTCACCCAACTGCACTATTTGACCATGTAATATTAGCACATTTATAGAATGGATTTGTTTATAATCTCCCTATCCGGTGTCACCCAGATGAGGATGGGTTCCATTTTGAGACTTCTTACTTCTCAAAGTTTCTTCCTCATGTCTCCTCAGGGAGTTTTTCCTCACCACTGTCACCACATGTATGTACACACACACACACACACACACACACACACACACACACACACACACATATATATATATATATATATATACATAAAAAAATAAAAACTGAAGAAGAAAAATACTATTGCTTTGCAGTATTGCTTTTCTTTCATCAGATGAGGACAGCATGCCACACTGAAAAGCAAAATTTTCATTGTATTGCTCTTGCGTCACTTGATCTCTTCAGGGTTTTGTTTTTGTTTGTTTGTTTGTTTGTTTAGAGAATGGAAATGAATTCGTGGATGTACTGCATTTCCTTTTCATCAGTGCATTGCATTCATGCCATACTGAAATGCAATCTGATTATAGCCATAAACTGCAATCAGGGGTGTAGCTGTTAGCAAAAAACCAGAGAAGAGAATGAAAGTGTCATTTCAAGGAGGCATTGTTATTAATGTATAATATTATATAGTTTCTTATTATTCCTTTATTAATAAGGAACTGAACCTCATTCAATGCATTCACTTCTCCCCAAAGGCAATGTTAAATTATTATTAAAAAATCTCTCAAAACATTGCCTGTTGTTCTGCTTCACTTGTGCGCCGTTTAAGAAAATGTTACTTAAAGGTGATGAGTTTAATTACTTTTCTCACCAAGAAAAAGTAATTACCAGGTACATTAAAGCTTATCCATAAAACGATACTTAGTTACAAGGGAGAATATAATAACTCACCTGTGGACGCTTTCACACCATAGTAATGGCACACTTAATGAACCCTTTTCTGTATGGCAAATAACCATTTAAGCATTCAAATTGTTTTTTAATGTGCCTATATATTTAGTGTTTACTAAAGAGGAAGAATTTCAGCAAGAGTGTGTTTCATGTATTTTGTGTTGGCGCTAAGAATGAATATGAACATAGGAATAAAGTCTTATTCGATAAAACTGTCATTGTATGTCTTTTTCCCCAAGCCGCCTAGACAATAGTGTAGCATATCGTGTAAATCTATAGGCTCAGTATGTTTGGGTCAGCGCTGCATGTATCTCCGGGGAGGATCGGCCGAACCCAATAAAGCAGCAGCGAGTGCGAGAGACGGGAGGAATGGCGCCAATTCTAATAAGAGAAATGCGGGCCTTA